CACACACACACACACACACACACACACGATACGTTCCATCATAGGATCGCGCGAACGGAGAGAAAGGTTCGAGGATGGAGGAAAAACTGTCGAAGGATGAGCGACGAGATCCCATCGATCTCGAAACGATAATCGTTCGACGCGAGACCGAGTCACCGTTTGAAAACTTCTTTTTATTTCGAATCGTCTTCTTCGATGACAAGAAAACTAGATGCTATATGCCACTTCCCGACCGTAATTCTTTCGCTTTTCTCCCTTCTTTCATCGAATTCGAAAAAATTGTTACTTTTCTTGCTGGTTCGGCTCACGGCTAACGTTTTCTCATCGGTGACGGAATCGAGAGGCGAATAATAGGCGAAGATAGATTCGGTCGACGATTCGAGAACTGTGGTGCCATCTAGAAACGTATCTCGGAAGCAAAGGGGATGGATGGGAGATAAGAGATACTTTTTCTCGAAGGAAATAGCGACACCAGAGCGAATCGCGGCGCGCGAGGAAAAGTTAGGAGAGAAGGATCGAAGAGAGAGAGAGAGAGAGAGTCGAGTTGTTTCTTCCGTTCGAATTTCGTTTCTCGGATTCTCGAGAGGATCCTGCGAGAGGACCCCCTATGGACCCGAAAACACGCATATACACCGCGAGTGAGGCCGCGATTCCGACGGATCCTGGGATTCGATGGGAACAAAAGAACGTTGGTTTATACGATGGAAGGCGTGTTTGTTATTCCGATGAGGTATAATGGGATGGATCTTGGGTGTTGATGCATGGCGCGTAGCAGGGTGCCCGAGTCCCAGAATCCCATGGATCGAAATGGAGATCGGTACGGGCCCCGTAGGCTTTCGAGAGAGAGACCCCTGTAGACAGGGGCCGCAACACGTCCATCACGTGTCACGGTTATGTATTTAGACATATCTCACTACTATCTTCCATATCGTTCTTCTTCCTCCCCTACCTCCCTTCTCCCATTTCTCTTCTCCCCTTTTAGACGATCCTCCCGTATTCGTCTTCACTTGCTACCAGCTTATCGCTGCGCCTTCCTAATCGAGACGGAGAGGATCCCTCGTAAAAATATTCCCCTGTCCCCCCCCCCCCCTATACCGCCTATACCGCCGCGTAGAGTCACCGTTTTTTCGTAAATACGTTCTTCGCCTCGAAACTTTTCAACGAACATATCGATAAATCGCTTCGTCTATACTATATATGTATATATATTGGCTTAATTTCCTAGATGGTGTTTGCTTTCTTTTTTCTCTCTTTTTTTTCTTTCTTACTCTTCGTATCCTCATATTATTACCGAATAATATACGCATCCATCTTCTCTCTCTCTCTTTCTCTCTCTCGTCTCAATATCCGCGCTGCTACTTCTCTTCGTCGATTGAATTTTTTATCGGGCATTCGACTAACGCGCGAGCCTGTTTTCGAACCGGTATCCCATTCGTCCTGCCGCTTCTTCTTTCTCTCTCTCTCTCTCTCTCTCTCTCTCTGAAAAAATGTTTTCAATATCTCCATACGCATTTCCGCTTTTTTTTCCAAAGGTAATACACGTATAAACGAGAAAACTTTCAAAACTTTTATTATTCATCGAAACAAAAGAAACGTAACAAACGACATTAGAGATTATGAAAAAAAAGAAAAGGCGACGCGTTTAATCGCCGTTCGGTTTCACCATAAAATTGACGAAACCGTCCACGTCCTCGAGCTCCTTGGAGTAAAATTTGGCCGCAATCGTGGCGCGTCCCTCGTATCTCGGCACCATGGAGAACGAACACTCGGCGTACGCCCCCGTTCTCACCGCTTCCGACAATTTCACCTTCAACTGCTCGTCCAAACCCGGCCCCTCGATCAGGAATCGGCCCTTGCTCAACGGGATCGGTAACGGATTCTGGAATTTCGCCGTCGCCTTCAACTCGTTCCCCGCTACCGCCTCGTTCTCCAGCTACGAAAATCGCCCCGAATCGTAGTAAGTGTAATTCCTTTCCGGATCTCGTCCCGAGTGTGCTTACCGTGATCGCTATGTCGGGCTTCCTCACGCGGAAATCGTCTTGGGCGAAGTACTCGAAATTGGTGTCCTTGACGGTGGCCAGGCAGGCGACGTTGAACGCGCATTGATCCAACAATCGGGGCCCGTACTCCTGCCAGGACACCTCCATGCGCGCCTCCTCCACCGCCCCCGGCCTCACCACTCGTTCCACGCTCCATCTTTTCACCGGATCTCCTACCCTCCCCGTGTACAGCACCGTCTCCACCCTCAGAATCACCGTCACCTCGTACTCCTTGCGATCGCTCCTGTTCTTGATCGACAGCACCACGCTGCCCAACCAGATCCTTGCATGAGTTGATATCGAGGAAGAGGAGGAGGGGGAGGGGGGTGAGAGGATTACCTGAACGGTTGTCCTATCACGATATCGTCCCGAAGCTCGAAGTCGAACGTGACGTCGTTAAATTCGTCGTTCAGGTAATAACGACTGAACAGGGACTGGCTCTGGCGCAACGCTTTCAACATGGCGGCCCGCTCCTCTTGCGATTCTACGTAATCCGGAAACGAGAAAAA